CCCCTCCTCCCGCCTCCTCCTCTCCCGACCTCCTCCTCCTCCTCCTCCACCTCCTCTCCTCCCCCCTCTCTCTCCTCCTCCTCCTCCTCTCCTCCTCCTCCTCCTCCTCCTCCTCCTCCTCCTCCCTCCTCCTCCTCCTCCTCCTCCTCCTCCTCCTCCTCCTCCTCCTCCTCCTCCTCCCCAAGAAGTGGCCGCAGCCAGCGATCGGCCCCCCAGGGAGCCTGGCCTCATCGAGGCCTGCGACACAAAGCAGGAGGGTTCCCAGGAGCCCAAGCCGATACATCAGAAAGCCCAACGTTACTGGTGCATCCTTCGCACCTTGGAAGTTTGCTATGCATGCGGAAGGGAAGGGCAGGAAGGTCAAGCATACATGTTAGCCATAGCTCCTTGTTGCATTTTCCGACATCGTCGTTCTAATTCGCCGGCCCAACGGGCCAGAGGCGTGCTAAGATCGGCGGTAACTGGTAAACAGTATTTCTGGTTCGCGCGCGCGGGGCGGCCCCTGGGGGTCCCTGGATCAAAAGTACCCCGGGCGGAGCCCGGGACACGCCCGGGACACGCCCAGGACACTCCCCCAGATCCTCCAGGATCGCCCCAAGAGGGCCCCAAGAGGCCCCCAACACAATCCAAGAGAGGTCCGAGACGCCCGAAGATCGCTCCACGGCGCCCAAGATGGCCTCCAGACGGCCCAAGAGGTCTCCAAGATGACCCAACAAGCCTCCAAGATGCCCCAAGAGGCCTCCAGGAGCACTCCCAAGAGGGCCCCAAGAGGCAAAAATCAATGTTTTTTTCTTAGGTTTTGGACAGATTTGGGCGTTTCAACCTTTTCGGTTCCCCGACGCCCCTAAACGGCTCAAGAGGCCTCCAAGATCGCCCCAAGAGGGCCCAAGAGGCCCTCAAAAGGGCCCCAAGACGGCTCCAAGACAGCCCCAGAGGCCTCCAAGACGGCCCAAGAGAGCCCCAAGAACGCCCCCAACACGGTCCAAGAGAGGTCCGAGACGCCCAAAGATCGCTCCACGACGCCCAAGATGGCCTCCGACGGCCCAAGACGTCTCCAAGATGGCCCAAGAAGCCTCCAAGATGCCCCGAGAGGCCTCCAAGAGAACTCCCAAGAGGGCCCCAAGAGGCAAAAACTATGTTTTCCTTTGGTTTTGGACAGATTTGGGCGTTTTAACCTTTTCGGTTCCCCGACGCCCCTAAACGGCTCAAGAGGCCTCCAAGATCGCCCCAAGAGGGCCCAAGAGGCCCTCAAAAGGGCCCAAGACGGCCCAAGACGGCTCCAAGACTGGCCCCAGAGGCCTCCAGGACGGCCCAAGAGGGCCCCAAGAACGCCCCCAACACGGTCCAAGAGAGGTCCGAGACGCCCAAAGATCGCTCCACGACGCCCAAGATGGCCTCCGGACGGCCCAAGACGTCTCCAAGATGGCCCAAGAAGCCTCCAAGATGCCCCAAGAGGCCTCCAAGAGAACTCCCAAGAGGGCCCCAAGAGGCAAAAAACTATGCTTTTCCTTTGGTTTTGGACAGATTTGGGCGTTTCAACCTTTTCGGTTCCCCGACGCCCCTAAACGGCTCAAGAGGCCTCCAAGATCGCCCCAAGAGGGCCCAAGAGGCCCCCAAGAGGGCTCCAAGATGGCCCAAGACGGCTCCAAGACGGCCCAAGAGGCCTCCAAGACGGCCCAAGAGGGCCCCAAGAACGCTTCAAGAACGCCCCAAGAGGGGGTTCACGAAACAGAATTTCGAGCTCTCGGCCCTTAGAGGCCCCCGGGAGGCCCCAAGACGCCCCAAAGGCCCCAAGAGGCCCCCAAGAGGCCCTCAAGAGGCCTCAAGAGGCCTCCAAAAGGCCCTCTGGAGGCCTCCAAAAAACCCTCAGGAGGCCCCCAGGACGCCTCCAAGACTCCAGCCAGACGCGACTTGGGAAACGCGGGTCGGGGTGGTCCTCCTCCCCCGCGTTCGGCCTCCAGCCTCGAGCCTCGACCCTCCACGACGACGACGACGCCGGCGGGCGGCGGCGGCGGCGGCGGCGGCGGCGGCGACGCGACGACGACGACGACGACGACAAAGGCGCTCCTCATCGCTCCTCATCCCCCTCCTCCTTCCTCCTCCTCTTCCTCCTCCTCCTCTTCCTCCTCCTCCTCCTCGTCCTCCTCCTCCTCCTCCTCCTCCTCCTCCTCCTCCGGTCCAATTAGAAAAGAGATGGTAAGAGAAACGCCACAAGAAAGTGTTCCTTCACGCCCGTGTCCGCAACGCCAGAGGACATCAGGACGATAACAGAGCCAATGTTAGCATTCAAAGCCCGCCACCCTCCGACACGAGGGTTCCCCTATCGCATCAGATGTCTCTTCCCCCGGCTCGAACGGCCCCACAGCGGGATACCACGGGTAACACGCCCCCACGATTGCACCAAAGCCGTCAAAAAACTGTAAACACCTAGAAGCCCCATGAAAAAACCTTAACAAATTTATCGACAACTACACAGCTCCCGACGCCGCAGCTCCACACTGCAAACGACCACTCGGACAGGCGACCACGGTGCGACATTATGGGCCGGCGGAATGAGCGAAGCGATTGAATAATGTGTTTCGCTATCCTTCCCTGGTGTTTCCTCTTCCTCTTCCTAGTTATGGCCCTGCCCTGCGAATTCTTCCCCATCCTCCTCAGCTCTTTTTGCGGAAGTTCCTCCTTGGAAAGCCTTTTGGGGGCCTCACGAAAGTTTTTCAAGGCTCATTGTGCCTTCTGGTGGCCTCTGGGGGCTTCCTCGGGGCACCCTGCTTCCAACCGCGGTCTCCCTGAACGACCGTGTCACGACTTGGAATGCTTCGGAGGGCGTCCGGGGCCATCTTGGGGCTCTCTTCGGACCATCTTGGAGCCCTGTTGTGCCGTCTTAGGGCTCTCGTGGACTGCCTGGAAGCCCTGTCGGATAATTTTGGAGCGATTTTCTGGCCTCCTGGGCGGTCTCGGACGCCCGGAAGACCGAAGAATAGACCACTCCCAAATCGTACTAACACCAATGGGAAATCACTGTTTTACTGCGTTTCGAAAGGCTTTGGGGGATCTTCATTGGGTCGTCTTCGGGAGTCTGGGGCCTCTTGAGGCCCTTAGGTGGCCGTTCGGCCGCCCTCTTGACCGATTTGGGGCCGTTGCCTATGCCTAGCAAGGGCTTCCAGGAGCTCCGGGAAGCTCGGGGGGCCTTCTGCAGGGGCGTCCAGGGGGCCATCGGGGGCTACGGATCCAGGGGGTCTCGTTTTTGGGGGGCGGGGGGAGTTTTTTGTTCACCTCCCCGGCTTATGCACATAGGGAGGGGGGCACATCATGTTGTTGCTTTATGGCTCGGCATTCAACTCATGCATATAGCCACTTCCCCTTATTTGCAAGGGCAGCTCGTGAGATACATAAGCCCGACCAACCGACGCGAAGCCATGCAAAATCCCACCTGTCCTCTGGGCGTAGGTGGTTTAGCGTGGTTTCTCTTCCATCTTCCCCTCTTCCATTTCGGGGAGGGGTTTACCACTGTTCCCTATGAATAAACACCCCCTCCCCCAGGCGACCGGCAGCCAACCAGGACCAATGAAACCACCACCCTCCATCATCCCTGTCAAATAAGAATGTGGAGTCAAATTTTGGGGCAACATCTTGCTTGGGTCATGATCGGGGGGGCGCGAGCACTTTGTATCGTTTTTATGCTTGACAGGGACGGTGGGGGTGCCCGCGTAGTGCCTGCTGCGCGCAGGGCCAGCATCCCGGTTATGAACCATACAAGATGCACTTCGAGGCAAAATCTACATTATGCGCGGGCACCCCGCGATCACTGTGCATGCATGGCGCACCTCGCACGAGCGTTGCGCACATGGGGCCTGGTTTGTTTCTAATTAGCTGTCCATCAAAAGACTGCCGCTGAACACGCTGCGGCTCGGGTGCTACTTATGTGTTGGGAGGGCGGGTGGGAGTGAGCGAGACGGATTGCGGGCGGGGAGGGTGTCTTGACCCCTCCCCCTACCCCCTCCCCCTGGATCTGGACGGGGCGCCCTGCGACTGATTGCAGCGTCCAAGATGGCCCAAGATGGCTCCAAGAAGGCTTCAGAGAGAGCCCAAGATGACCTCCAAGAAGGCTCAAGATAGCCTCCAACGTGATTCAACAGGCTCGAAGACCGCCCCAAGGCGGCTCCAAGTGGCCTCGGAGCACCGCCAAGAGAGCACCCACCTAGGTCAAATCAACATGTGTTGCGTTCTCGCCTTTTCGCTTCTGATGGCTTTCCGAGGCGTCAAGGTGGATCCAACATGGCCCAAGAGGGCCCCAAGAGAGGCCCAAGAGGGCCCCATGACGGCCCCAAGAGAGACCAAGAGCGCCCCTAGAGGGCTCCAAGAGGCGACTCTGGGGGCTCCAGAGGGGCGGTGCAAGTTTAGGCTCCCGCCTTCCTGGAGCGACCCCCCCCCCAATATGGCCTCAAGAGGGCCTCCAGGGCCCCTAAGAGAGCCCCAAGAGAGCCTCAAGAGGCCCCCCAGGAGGCCCCCAAGATGCCCCTTGAGCGCCCCCCGAGACGCCTCAAGAGGCCTCCTGGCAAGGCCCAAAGCGACATCCCAAGTAACTCCGAGAGGCACCCAAGAGGCCTCTGGCCTTCTGCTCGCCCTCCTCCTCCCTCTCATCTACCTATTCCCTCTTCTCTCCTCCCCTCCTCCTCCTCCCCCTCTCCCCCCTCCTCCTCTTCCTCCTCCTGCTGCTGCTATTCCACCTCCACCTCCTCCTCCTCTCCTCCTCCTCCTCCTCCTCCTCCTCCATGTCCTCCTCCCTCCTCCATCTTCCTCCTCTTCCTCCTCCTCCTCCTCCTGCTGCTGCTCCTCCTCCTCCTCCTCCTCTTCCTCCTCCTCCTCCTCCTCCTCCTTCTCCCTTCTATTTTTCCTTCTCCTCCTCCTCGATCCTCAGGGTGGTTGGCGTGCTTGCCCCTCTCTGGGCATCCTGTGGGCAGCTCCCGCCGCCTTCCTGCTCCCCCCCTCCCCGCGAGGGCCTCAGGATGCCGAAGCCGCGGGCGTTGCTCCAGTGGATGGCCACGCCCATGTGCTTGGTGCCGATCTGCTTGGACAGATCCTTCGGGTCGAAGTCCGAGCGCTTGGCCAGCGAGTCCTTGATCTCCTCCGCCACCTTCTTGGCCGCCTCGGTACCGCCGCTTGGGCGCGGATTAAGAGGAGGGCGATCAATGGGGGGGGGGGAGAGAGAGGTGCCCTTCTCGGACCCCAAAGACCCCCTTTGGGGCCCTCAGGGCCTCTTTAGGGGCCCTCAAGGGCTCATTTCTGCAGCCCCCGCTGCCCTCCCACATGCTGCACGATCCCTTGAGGATAAGGCAGAGACGGCGAAAGAGGGGCCCAAGACTGAGAAAGACAATGATCGTGTTGGGAGGAAGGGGATTGGGAAGATACACGGAACGACCGTGCAATAAGCCCATTCAACATACGCGAGAACAGGGATGACCTCACCGTTCCTGCCAGCCCCTTATACCCCCCCAACCATACAGGGGCGCCCCCTCGTCGGACTCCTGGTGACTTTTCAATCATAACTCGGCTCTCCCGTGGCCGCTCGGGGCGGTCCGGGCACCCTCGGCTCTCCCTCGGCGCGGCGCACCTGCTGGAGCGCATCCCGAGGCTGGAAAGCCGCCGAGGAGCGACGAAACCGAGGAGGAGGAGGAGGAGGAGGAGGAGGAGGAAGAGCAGGAGGAGGAGGAGGAGGAAGAGCAGGAGAAGCCGCCCTCGAACCTCGACTCCGAAACTCCCGACAAACTCCCCCCCCCCCCGCGGGCTCTCTCGGGCGGGGAGCGCGCGGTCGGCGCCTCCACGCGCTCGGGGTCGGGCTCCCGCTCCGCCTCGCCCTCCTCGCGACCGTCGCCGCCCGCGCCCTCGTCGCGCCGGGCGCGGCTGGCGCCGTCGTCGCCCCAGCGGCTGGCGCGGGCGGCCTCTCGGGCGGGCCAGCAACGACGACGCCGACGACGACGACGCCGACGACGACCACGACGACGCCGACGACGACGACGCCGACGACGACGACGACGACGACGCCGCCGACGACGACGACGACGACGACGACGACGATGACGAGGACGACGACGAGAACGAGGACGAGGACGAGGACGAGGACGAGGACGAGGACGACGACGACGACTACGATGACGACGACGACGACGACGACGACGACGACGACGACGACGACGACGACGACGGCGGCGGCGACGGCGGCGGCGGCCTCGCGAGCTGGCGCGTGAGGAAGGCTCGCGGGCTGGCGCGGCTCTCGGGAGGGCAGGAGCAGACGGAGGAAGGAGGAGGGCGAAGGCGGGGGGGAGCAAGGGGCGAAGAGGAGGAGGAGGAGGAGCAGGAGGAGGAGGGGGAGGAGGAGGAGGAGGAGGAGGAGCAGGAGGAGGAGGAGAAGGAGGAGGAGTTGAGGAGGAGTTGAGGAGGAGGAGGAGGAGGAGGAGGAGGAGGAGGAGGAAGAGCACGGCCACTGAGACGCGCTGATAGACGCCGAGAGCCAGGAAGGCAAACAGCCCTGGCTGAGTTAACTCTCACACATAGCACACCTAAAACGAGGGGCAACGTTGCTGCCGCGGCGCCACGAAGAAACGAAACCTCCCAAACGAACACGAACTGAAGCTTCAAGCGAACGGGGAGGCATCGAGCTGGAACCGGCGGCACATCGCCGATAGCTCAGCGACGTGCCCCCGATGGTGGCAGGCAAAGCCGCACGCTCATCAGGGGCAACGCCAAGGGAAGACCCGATCCAGGGGTGGACGATTTTCTCGGAATCGAAGTTCGAGCTTCGAGGGCGTTCTCGTCGATTCCCGGCGGTTTTCCAGCCTCGGGGTGCGCTCCGGCAGCTGCGCCGCGCCGCGGGCGTTCCGGCGGTGCCCGCATCGTCCCGGACGGCCGCCGGAGAGCCGAGCTGTGGCCCGAGAGCTGCCCCCCTCAGAGGCAGCGTCAGGAGGGGAGGACCCGGTCAGGGGGGGCGGAGGCATGGAGCTGGCATCGGCGATGCAGCGCCGACGGATCGGCCATGGGCCCTGGATGGCAAAACCGGAGGTTCCTGGGCGGGCTGGGCTATCGGGCCCAGCGTGGTTGGCGACGAGTGGGCGATTGGGGGCCGACGCGTCCCCCTCTGAGCCCATCCCCTCCTAACGTTGCCACTGAAACGACGTTCATCAGAAGAGGAAGACCCATACCTCCAATGTGTGAAAACATCAAAGAGAAGGCGTTTCGTGGACGCTTGCCTGGAAAAAACCCTCGACACGTTTGAACCGCCCCCCCAAAAAAGCATTGAGCGCCCCTGGAGAACAGGCCCCTCCTCCTCGCCCCCTGGACACCGGCCTCCCTAACCGTGGGGAAGGGGCCCCTGAGGGGGGGAGGGGGTCGAACCAGCCTCCCCCCCCCCCCTGAGTTGCAAGGGGGGGTGGGGGGTCGAACAGCGGCGGGGGGGGCCCCATGTCTAGGAGGGAGGGAGGGGGGGAGGGGTTCGAACCCGGGGGGGGGGAGGGCCCTGAGTTGAAGGGGGGGGGGGGGGTCGAGCCGAAGGGGGGGCCCTTGAGCAGGGGGGGGGCCTTGGGGGGGGCCTTCCCCCCCCTCCCCCGAATAGAATCCTCCCAAGGCTCGATCTCCTGCTCTAAGGCTCGCTCGCTCGCCCGCTCGAGCAAGCGAGCGAGAGAGTCGGGTTGGTCGGGTCGGGCGGGCAGCACATTAAATGCACGGTGTTCGCTTGCTCGCTCGCTCGCCCGCTCAAGCAAGCGTGCGAGCGAGCGAGTCGGGCAGTTCGGCTTGGGCGGGCGGGTCCTTAAATGCATGGTGCTCGCTTGCCCGCTAGATGGATCAAATATGCGAGCGAGCGAGGGAAGAGGGAGTCGGACCTCTCGCTCGCTCGCTCGAGCAAGCAAGCGAGCGAGTCGAGCGGATCGGGTCGGGCGGGCGGGACAGCGAATGCATGATGCTCGCTCGCTCGCTCGCTCGCTCGCTCGCTCGAGCAAGCGAGCGAGCGAAGGAGGGGATCCTCTCGCTCCTCCGCTCGTTGAAGCGAGTGAGGGTCGGTTCGAGCGGGCGGGGCGTATGCATGGTGCTCGCTCGCTCGCTCGCTTGCTCGCCCGACCAAGCGAGCGAACGAACACATCGAGCGGGTCGGGTCGGGCGGGCGGGACATCAAAAGCGTGGTGCTCGCGTGCTGGCTCGCTCGCTCGCCCGCTCGAGCACGGGAGCGAACGAGCGAGGGAAGGAGGGGGTCGGTCCCCTCGCTCGCTCGCTCGCTCGCTCGCTCGAGCGATCGACGAGAGGTCTGGGGTTCATAGTGCTCGACCCAGTTTTAATGACATCGTGTTATGGCAAAATCCAGCTCTGATTGGATCCCACTCGGGCTCGAGCCAGCCCAAATCAAATCTTACTCGGGCTCGATCCAACCCTAATCGCAGCCTGCTAAGGATCGATCCTCGTCGTCGCTGTCGTTTGCGTCGTCGTCGTGATCGCCGCCGTCGCCGTCGCCGTCGCCGTCGTCGTCGTCGTCGGCGTCGTCGCCGTCGTCATCATCGCCGCCGTCGGCGTCGTCGTCGCCGCCGTCGTCGACGTCGACGTCGACGTCGCCGTCGAAAGCGGCGGCGTCGTCGTCGTCATCGGCATCGTCGTCGCCGCCGTCGTCGACGTCGACGTCGTTGTCGTCAACGCCGTCGTCGTCGTCGTCGCCGCCGTAATGGTCTTCGTCGTCGTCGTCGTCGTCGTCGTCGTCGTCGTCGTCGTCATCATCTTCGTCGTCGTCAGCGTCGTCGTCGTTGTCGTCGTCTTTGTCGTCTTCGTCGTCGTCGTCTTTGTCGTCTTTGTCGTCTGCGTCGTCGTTGCCCGACCCCGACGGCGCCGGCGCCGGCGTTCGCCGTCGTCGGTTGCAAGGGGGGGAAAGTTCGAACAACCCCCCCCCCGCAATTCAGAGCGGGGGGGCCCACGCCCGTTTCGAACCCGCCCCTCCCCTTGAGAGGGGTAGGGGGGGGCCGTTTCACCGCACCCCCCCCCGTCCCCTGAGAGAGGCCCCCATCCCCGGTTCGAACCCCCCCCTCCGTACAATTGAGGTGGGGGGTGTCGCCCCCCGGTTCGAGACACCCCCTCTTGAGGGAGGGGGTGGCAGTTCGAACCCCGCCCCTCGCAATTCAGGGCCCCCCCCCTCCCTCCCCCCCCGGGTTCGAGATCCCCCCCCTCCTTCCCAGCGTCCACAGAACGCGCTCCTTCAAACGTCAAGTTTCCCGCAATTTTCGACGACTGGGGGCCCTCGCCGGGACCTGGGAAGAATGGATCTGGGGCCAGGAACTGGGCGCAAGGAAGTGGTTCAGAGTTCCAGCGACATCAGTTCTGGATGTTTTTTGGTTTTGCTCATGGGGGAAATCCAGCCCCCTAAAATGGATAGGTCCCCTCTCTGGGCGGGGACAGGCGGCGGCGGCAAGGAGGCGCTCCAGATCCAGGGCACGGCGCTCTGGAGGGTCAGGGAAATGAGGAAGGACGCGTGGAGGGGTAGCAGGAGGTTGAAGAGGGCAAGGAAAAGGGGAAGCCAGGGAAACAAGGGAACAAGAGGAAGAGGAGAAAGAGGAGGAGGAAGAGGAGTAGGAGGAAGAGGAGTAGGAGGAGCAGGAGGAGGAGGAGGAGGAGGAGGAGGAGGAGGAGGAGGAGGAGGGAGAGAGGAGGAGGAGGGGGAGGAGGAGGAGGAGGGGAGGAGGAGGAGGAGAGGAGGAGGAGAACGTAGGATGGGAAGAACAGAGAGGGTTAGGGAGGAGGGGGGGCAGCAGGAGGAGGATTCACGGCACCCTAGCAGCGACGAGTGTCTCCGAAGCGCCCGACACAGCCGATGCGAACTTGGGAGAGAACGCGTTTCACGGGCGCTAGCCTTGGGAACATTCGGCGGCGCGTTTCGAACCAGGGGGTGGGCCCCCCCCTCCACCAGTCGGCGCCGTCGATCAAAAACCAGGAGGGACTCCCCCCAAAACCCCCTCCCCCCCGACCCCCCCCCTCCCCTTTCCCAATGAGAAGGGGGGTTCACCCCCCCCCCTCGGCGGCCGCCAGCAGTGCCGACGGCGGGGACGCAACGACGATGACCAGAGGCAGCCCAGGGGGGGGGTTCAATCCCCCCCTGGCACTGGCCCGGCGCCGGCGCCGGCGCTGGCGGGGACGCAGCGACGATTACCACCACTACCACCACCACCACTACCACCACCATCACCGCCTCAACCCACGACCACCACCACCAACCCACCACACAACCACCACCACCACCACCACCACCACAGCCACCACCACCACAATCTACCACACCACCACCACCACCACAACTCACCATCACCACCACCACCACAAAAACCCACCGCCACTACCACCACCAGCACAATCTACCACACCACCACCACCACCGCAACAACCAGCACCACTACCAGCAGCACAACCCACCACCACCACCACCACAAACCACCACCACACCACAACCAAACCGCCACCACCGGAACAACTCACCACCACCACCATCCACCCACCACCACAACCACCACCGCCACCACAACAAACCACCACAATAACCCACCACCACTACCACCACCACCGCCACCACCACCACGACAACCCACCACCACCACAACCACCACCACCACCACCACCACCGTCCTCGTCGACGCTCCCCGCCGCCGCCGCCCGCCGCCGCAGGCGCTGGCGCCGGCCCAGAAAAGGAAATCGTCGTCCCCGCCGCCGCCGCCAGCCGCCGCCCACGCAGGCGCCGGCCCGAGGAGAGGGAGGAGGAGAAGTAGGGGGGGAAGGGTGGGGGGGGTCGAACTCCCCCCCCCCTCCGTCACGGGAAGGGGGGGGGGAGGGTTCGAATCGGTTCGAACCCCCCCCCCTCCATCCAGGGGGGGGGGGTCCACTTCCACCCCCCCTTTCCAAGCGACCACAGAAGGCGCTCTTTCGAATTTGGCGGCTCGGCGGGCAGCACAGGAGATGATTAGCGCCAGATGAACGCATTGGCCGCACCGAGCGCGGACGCTCTCGCGTCAGGCGTCGGGGGTGACAGCTTGCTTCATGCGACTGCAAATGTGGAAGGCGAGAGCGGCTCGCTGGGCTGTGCGGAGAAGCGAAGGATCGCTCCTCGCGCTCGCCAAGATGTGCAGCAGCAGATGGGTCGAGAACCCACACGCCATGAGTGCGTTGGAGGGGAGGTGAGTCGGCGACGGGGCAGGAGAGGTAGCGGGGGAATTAATATGATGAAAGCGTGCATCCGAACACACACGCACACAGACGCACACACACACACACACACACACACACACACACGCGCACACACACACAGACACGCACACGCACACACGCACACGCACACGCACACGCACACGCACACGCACACGACGCACACATACATGCACACACACACACATACACGTACACGTACACGTACATACACACACGCGCACACACACACAAACACCACACAAGCACACACAGACACGAACACACGAACACACACACACACATACACACACACACACACACACGCACACACACACACACACGGACAAACACACACACACACGAACACACACACACACACACACACACACACGCACACACACACAAACATTTGCGCTGTACGTGCACGTGCATGCCGTGGGTCGTGGTCCCCCCCCCCCCTGAGGGTTTTAAACGTGGCCCACCTCCAGATCGGGCGCGCATCCCTGAGCGTTTTGGCCAGAGCGAACCAGCGGTCGACGATCTCTGGGAGTGGCGGGGGTGATGGGGATGCCCCACGCGATCGGGCGCGTCTGAAAACTGACAGCGCGTGGCGTGCTGAGTGCTGCGCGTCGCAGCGAGACTGCGGCCTCCCTGTGTACCTTTGGGCCCCCTGGGAGAAGCGGCCGTCGGGGCGTCGTGGCTTCCCTGCCTGGCAGGCACCCGTCAGCGCGGCGACGCCGGAGGCGGAGCACGGGGCGGGCAGCAGTGCCGTGCGACACGGCGTGACAGTGCTGCACGAGGGCGCGCGCCTCTTCCCCGAACGACGGGGACCAGGAGCCGGCGACGCGCCGAGGGAAGGAGCGGGCTGTGCTCTCTTCCCATGCAGGTGGCCAGCAGGCGCACGCGATGAGGTTCCCAATCTCGCCACGGGGCGCGTGCAGAGCACAGCGAAGTGCGGCACCAGTGGACGTGACCTCGGCGGAGCGAGGGGCAGGAGGCGGGCTCCGCTCCGCCATGGCAACGAGATCGGCTTTGCGGAACAAAAGTTCGGCGGCATGCTGCGCATCTGATGGAAAATGTACAGCTCGCGCGATGCAACCCGCTGGCCCAGCGGGAAGGACTGGGCGGCATAACTCAGCGTAGTGGGCGTGGATGTGTTGTAGACGGACAGTGGCGCCGCTGCCATTCTCAACCAGGTGTCAAAGGTCGCCACGCATCCACCACTTTTGCCCAGGGGCGAGCCACCGACAGTCCAGGGAAGCCGACGGACCTAAGAAGACCCCCAGGTATTTGGCTCGCCCCTCAACCGAAAAACCGTCGCAGGAGGCGCAGAGATCCGCCAGGAGATATTTGGTTTGTCCAGCGTTGGCAGGTGAGGATGCGGCCCAGAGGGGCACGACTACACATTTGAGAGGCTTGAGAACAAGAAGCGCGAGGCTCCATCCGCCGCAGAAGGCTCAGGGATCTTGCGCAGCATGACGATGTCGTGTACCAGCAAGCCCACGTCATCGGCGCATCCGCCCATGCAGCCCATGTTCAGAAGCAGCAGGATGAGGAGAAGGACAAGGCGCAGGAGGAGGAGGAGGAGGAGGAGGAGGAGGAGGACAAGGAGCATGAGGAGGAGGAGGAGGAGGAGGAGGAGGAGGAGGAGGAGGAGGAGGGAGGAGGACGAGGAGGAGGGGGAGGAGGAGGAGGGGCCCAGAGGCATCGAGCTGGGTCGATTGGCGCTGCCCTCTCTTACGATGGAGCCGTCTCCAGCGATCCCGCACGGCCTGCAAGGGATGGTTTTAAGGCAGGCGCCCACTTTGCACGAGCAGGAGGAGGAGGAGGAAGAGGAGGAGGAGGAGGAGGAGCAGCAGCAGCATGTCGAGGAGGGCGACGAGGAGGGAGGAGAGGGCGAAGGATGATGACGAGGTCGCTGCCGTCGCCGCCGCCGCCGCCGCCGTCGAGGAGATCGAGCAGATCGAGGAGGAAGAAACGTGACGACGACGACGGCGGCGGCGACGACGACCCCCCCCGATATTTCCTGGGGCGTGCTCTGACAAGAACTTTCAGGCGGACCCCGCCGTCGCGACGAGGTCGCACCGAGAGGCCCAATGACGACCACCAAGCGCCCCCAGAAGCCTCGACGACGACGACGACAACGACGGCGGCGACGACGACGACGACGACGACGACGACGACGACGACGACGACGACGACGACCCCCTGGCCTTTCCAGGGGCGTGCTCCTACAAGCCTGGCCAAGAGTATCCATAAATGGAAGTTGAAATCCTGGAGCGCGATGCCTTCGGGCACTTGTCAGAAAGCGCGTTCTTCAATGTTAAGAGGGTGGGGCGGATTTTTTGACAACATCGCGTCCGAGTCAACAAGCATACGTCCGCATTGGAATAGCGCTGACCCCACAATCACCGAATTCAGAAGTCTTCTGTTTATGTTTGACGAGGCTTGTAGGGCGCGGGTGGCTGAACTGTTTGTGGGGAGATACTCGACAAAGTAGCGGTGACTGCGAGGTACTTGTATGCGCCGCCCCTCCAGTGTCCGTCATCATCGAACTTCCGAGTCGTTCCTGGTCAGACCACTTTTGCCCTGGCCCCGACATTAGAGGGGCGTCTATCGACATCGAAGGGCGCGCCGACGCCGCAGCGGCGTGGTCGCCATTGCTGAGGTTCATTCTGACGAAGATAGCAGGGCGCGGTCCCCGGTGACGTCAGCGACGGCGCCGACGACGACGTCGACGGCGGCGACGACCGCTCGGGCACGCCGAAGAAGAGGCTCACAAAGAGGGGGGGTGCCCATGGCCCGAGGCAGGCGGGAGGACGAGTGGGGCTCCGAGGACGTGCGGGAAGAAGAGGAGGCCATAACAGATCTGGGGAGATATCATTCGAAGAAGATCCACATAAACATAAACTTTTGGCGCTCCACGCGGATTTCTCGGATTCGCCCTGGAACCCCCTCCCTGGCGCGCGGAGCGCTCCGGGGCGCTGGAAGCGCCGCTGGGGGGCCCAAGCGCGGATCCAAGAAATCCGCGCGGAGCGCCAAAAGTTTATGTTTACGTGGTCTTTTCTTCTTCGAATCATGGCCCCAGCCATGATGTCCCCCTCCCAATACACCCCTGCTTAGAGTTAGCACAACTTCAGGCAGAGAGAATGGACTTCACGCCAGGCCCTCTCTCAGACAACAATCCAGGACCAGACATACGGACGTTCTGCGGAAAAAGAGGTTTCAATAAAACGCCCAGGGTCCAGTCTGGCTTCTTGGTTTTCTTAAGCGAAATACGGAGTCCATGAAATTTGATGTTTATTTTCTCTTCAGATTTCTGACGGGCGTAATACTCACCCCCATCTTGGACGCCCCGGAGAAGTCCGACGACGGCGACGTCGACGGCAACGGCGGCGACGACGTCGACGGCGGCGACGACGACGACGGCAACGTCGACGGCGGCAGCGTCAACGACCTCGGCGACGACGACGACGACGACGACGACGACGACGACGACGACGACGACGACGACGACTGCGACGACGACGACGACGACGACGGCGGCCGCACGACGACGACGACGACGACGACGAGGGCGGCCACGACGACGACGACGACGACGGCGACGACGACGACAAAGACGACAAAGACGACAAAGACGACGACGACGACGGCGACGACGACAAAGACGACAAAGACGACGACGACGACGACGACGACGGCGGCGGCGGCGGCGACGACGACGACGACGACGACGACGACTGCGGCGTGCGGCGTGCGGCGTGCGGCGTGCGGCGACGGCGCGTGGCCGCCTCGCGGTCGCGCGGCGGGGTCCGGGACCTCCGCGGCGCGGCGTCGTCCCAGCCGCGACGCGCCCTCGCGGGCGGCCGCGGCTCCTCCCAGCCCGAGATGGCCGCCTGGCCGCGGCGGGCTGCGGCCGCTCGGGCTCGGCGGCGGCGGGGATGGGGGGGGGACTTTGGCTGCCCCGATGCGCAGCACGCAGCACGTAGCGCATTTCCGCGGTGAGCGGCGGGGGGGGAGTGAGAAGGAGAAGGCCTTCTCAGGAGGCAGCGGGACTTCTCGGAATCCCTCGCGCCTTCTGAGAAGTTCTTCGCGTCTTCGGGGAAGGCCTGGAAGACTTCCCAGAAGGCTGGTGGATTTCCGAGCCTTCTGAGAAGGCCCGCCCCTTCTCACTTCGCCCCTTCGCTCGCCGCCGAGTGTTGATACGGAGCTCAACACGTGGACTGAACACGTAGGTCTGACGCGATGCGATCGCCGAAACGTGGGCCAACACGCTGAGCCAACACGCAACGTGTCAACACGGACGTTTTGAACACGGCACGTGTTGGGTTTCGAGACGGCGTATCAGGACAGCTGAACGGCGAATATGAAGGGGAACGTCAGAGGGGACCGGCTCCAGGAGGGAGCGGCTTTCTCGGAATCGAGCCTCGAAGTTTTCGGGCGTGCTCGTCGGTTCCCAGCGGCTCTCCAGCCTCGGAGGAGGGGATGCGTTCCAGCAGCTGCGCCCTGCCGCGGGCGTGCTGGTGGTGCCCGGATCGTCCCGAGCGGCCGCCCGACAGCCGAGGTGTGGCCCGAGAGCTGCTTCCTCGAGGCCAACGGCAGGGGGGGAGCCGACTCCGGGGGGGGAGGTGTCGAGCTGGCATCGGCGCTGCACTGCCGATGGATCAGCGATGGGCCCTCGATGGCAAAAACCGCACGTTGTTCCTGGGCGGGGTGGGCTGTCCGGCCCCGAACTATCGGCGATGGGTGGGCAGTCGATGGACAGGCGCGTTCCACTGCTCGCACAGTAACTGCTCGCACATGGCCTGGATCCGCCGCGGGGGATCTACGATACATTACATAGGAGGATGACCTGTTGTTTCCCGACGTTTGCGAGTAGGCGCTTTGCGAGTAGTGGAACGCGCTCGGTGAGCTTCTCCTCCTCCTCCTCCTTCTCCTCCTCCTCCTCCTCCTCCTCCTCCTCGTTTTCCTTCTTCTTCTCCTCCTCCTCCTTTTCCTCCACCTTTCCTCCTCCTCCTCCTCCTCCTCCTCCTCCTCCTCCTCCTCCTCCTCCTCGTCGTCCTCGTCGTCCTCCTCCTCGTCCTCCTCCTCGTCCTCCTCGTCGTCCTCCTCCTCGTCCTCGTCCTCCTCCTCCTCCTCCTCCGTCGATACTTCCCCCCCTGAACCTATTCCTCCCTACACCCGAACCGGCGGGGCTGGCGGCCGTCGCCGTCCTTCTCGTCGTCGCTGGCCGCTGTTGGCCGCCGTCGACCGTCGCTAGTCGCTGATCGCTGGCCCTCGCTGCCAGCGACGACGGCCAGCGACCCGCTGGCCGCCACCTGCGGGCCCAAAGAGCAGAATTACACCACCACCACCATCACCACCACCACCACCACCACCACCACCACCACACACCACCACCACCACCACCACCACCACCACCACCACCACGACCACCACCACCACCACCACCACCACCACCGCGTCGACTCCTCCTCCCCTCCTTTACCCTCTTCTTCCTCGCCTCTGTCCTAGGAGAGGAAGGGGGTGAAGGAGGCGGTGGTGGTGGTGTATATGTGTGGGCCCCGAACCACCAGCGTCGGCCTCGTCGTGTCCCGAGGGCGGCCCCCCGGCCCGCGAGGCGACAGCGGCGGGCGGGGACCCAGGCGACGAGGCGTCTGATGGAGCCCTGGGACACACAAATAGATAGACACAGATCCCAGGAGCGTGCTAAGATTTCGCACGCGGGGCCGCCCCTGGGGGTCCCCAGACGAAAAGTACCCCCGCAAGTCCCGGCCAAATCCCGGCCAAATCCGGCCAGGCCCGGGCCAGGTCCCGGGGAGGTCCCGGCCAGGTCCCAGCAGGCTCCCAATAGCGCTCCAGGAGCGCTTCAAGTGGCCTCCAAGAGAGCTCAACATGGTCCGAGACGGTCCAAGAGCGATCCAAGACGCCGAAGATTGCCTCCAGTCAGCCCAAAGCGCCTTCAAGACGCCCCAAGAGGCCTCCAACAGACCTCCCAAGAGGGCACACAGATGCAGAAATTTGTGATTATCCTTCAGTTTCTGTCGGTTTTGGGCGTTCTCGCCTTCAAGGCTAGCCGGCGCTCCAAGACAGCGCAAGAGGCTTCCAAGACCGCCCCAAGACGGCCCACGAAGCCTTCAAGAGGGCCCCAAGACGGCCTAAGATGGCCCCAAGACAGCCCAAGAGGCGCTCAAGACAGCTCAAAAGAGCCCCAAAACGACCCCAAGAGGGGCCCAAGAAGGGGACCAGGAACCAGAAAGTCCAGCCTTCAGCCCCAAGAGGCCCCCAGGAGGCCCTAAGAGGCCCCCAAGAGGCCCCCAAGAGGCCCCCAAGAGGCCCCAACACGGTTCCCAAGGGGCTTCAAAACTGCCTCCCAAAGGCCCCTGAGAGGCCAACCACGAGAGCCCAACCAACGTCCGTGAGGCCTCTGACCCGCCACCGACCGCCTCCGAAAAATGGCAGCCGCCCAACCGCACCGCATTGACAACAACACCCCGACAAACGACAGCGGCGAGGCAATATGGGCCGGCGGAATGAGCGAAGCGATTAAATAGATAGACACAAGTCTCAGGATTCTCTATATTTTCCCACGTTTTCTGGGTGTTCGTCTTCCCCCCCCCACTTCTATGTTTTCCTGGGAGTCGGCGATTCACTGTGTCTGTGTGTGTGTGTGTTTTTCCCCTCCTCAGCGTCACATGGCCGCCTCTGGCGCGGCGGCGGGCAACGACCAGAAAACGACCGACCAGCCACCACTGGGGGAGCTGCGTGCTTTGCCCTGATCGAAGCAAATAGGTGGGGTGGACGTGGATCCTGGCCTCGGCTTTCGGGTCATAGCTCGGGTCTCTGGCGGCCTCGGGACGACCTGGGCGCCTCTGGGACGCTATCGGCGAGGCGCAGCTGCCGGAACGCATCCCGAAGTAACAGAACTCTGAAGAACCGACACAACTGTCCGAAAACCTCTGCGCAGCCGACGGCCGCCGTGATCATGCCTGGACTGACAAGATCACACCGCTGGCTTTCGAGCTACGGGCGGCCGTTCGGGACTATCTGGGCCTCCCTGGGACGCTCCCGACGAGGAGCAGCGGCTGAGAAGCATCCCGAGGCCCAAAAACCTTCAGGAACCTGCGAAAGTGTTCGGAAACCTATGCGGAGCCGACGGCCGCCGTCATCATACCCGAATTTTTTTTTTAAGCATACTGCCCGCTTCCGGGCCATAACTCGGCACTTCGGCGGCCGTTCGGGATGATCCGGGCACCCCTGGGGCGCTCTGGACGAGGCGCAGCCGCTGAGCAACATCCCGAGGAAAAGCTGGAGAACTGGCAAACACGTGTGAAACTGCCAGGAGACATGAGAAAGCGCCTGACGACGTTCGAAAAACGTCCGCGCAAGCGCGCGGTTCTACAAATCCGCCACGGGCGCGGCAGGCGGGGCCTCGAGCGCCTCCGCCGCGGCGTCGCTCCGCGCCCGCGAGAGTCGCTTCTGCAGCTCCTCGGCCGAGAAAGCCTGCACCGCGGCCTTCCCGTCGGCCTTGCCGGCCGGCACCGCGCTTTTCCTCGCGGCACGTCGAGGGGCAGAAACAGA